ACACACACACACACACACACACACACACACACACACACACACACACAGAATCTCTATCTCTTCCGCTGTCTAGCACGAAAGGCACTCGGAGTCACTGGCTAAGTGAAATTTACTATGAAGACGTATTGTCTGAAGAATCCTTATAATAAATTCTTTTACAACACAAATAATCACATCCCAACTTGGCTTGGGTTTTTGTCCACCCGATTTGCTTTAAGCTCTGCACGACCTGATCTATTACCACCCCTGTATGTACGATCTGTGTGACATCCGTATTGTTTCAAGACTCAGGTAGCCTCGAAATGCTTAAGGTGCTATTTAGCTTCTACTTAGCTTATAAACCCAACTCTATCAATAGTGTTACGCAAAGACAGAGTACAATCGATAAACTGGGTGACTCATTCATTAGACTTTTTCCCTTTGTTTCCTTATTATTTAATAACATTATTTGTACCGAGCCAGTACGAAGAGCAAGTGATTTTGAGCAGCAGTAATCTAAAGTGGGCAAGATTTATAAGGCACGAACTCAGTTGCTAAGAGACAACTCCATTGCTTTATTTTTCTTCAATATTTCCCTCCTCTCCGGAGAAGTTCTTTTTGGCTCAGAAGGAGCAGAAAGCGTGAAAAGAGGCACAGTGGTCCTTTGTTAATCTCAGTAAGTTCTATGAGTATATAGTGCTTTCTGCTTTGTAAGAGGCTTTCACATACATTTCTTCCTTTGACATTAAAAAAAAAAGGACAGAATTAAATACCAAATAAAAATGAAGAGTACCTAGTCCGTAATGGGTTTGAGTGCTTAAGACCAAGGCTATCAGCAAATATTCAGGAAAAGTAAAGACTAAAGAAGAAAACAGGAAACGACTAGCTTGTGGGGAGAGAACAAGAGTAACGGGAATTTACAAAGAAATTAACAACAAGGCTGGAAAAGACTAAGTGGAGGAAATCTAGAGAATTCTAGGAAACTGAAGACATTTCAGATAGGAGACTGCATCTAGACTGAAACGAGGGGATAAACGCAGGCGATAAAAGAGTGTGGGACACTGACAGAGGGAGAGCCCTGTGGCTTGGCAAGTGTCCCTGAATCGGCCTGCAGTGCGGCAGAACGGAAACCCACAGAGGGTGCTCGAGAATACACAAGAGCCCTGCGGTGGAGACTGCACAAAACGCCGTCAGGGATTTCATCGGAAGCGTAATCCATTCATGGCACAGTCTGGCAATGCTGGGGAGCGGGTAAGACACACCCAGGCACCTATGGAACAAAAGAAATATTTGAAGTTCAAAACAATTCTGCTATTTCCCGCCATGGCTATACATCAGTGTTTGGGTTTAGAGGAGGAGTGGAGTCAGGAGCATGGAAATCAAAAATAATCTTTACCCAGGAGGAAGATAGCAGTCTTTGAAGAACGCAGGAGGTGATGTGGGTGAAGACTGGAGATACCACGCAATTCTTGATTTCTTGTGATTAACTCTGAATTGCTCACTGTTTGGTA